GCCGCGCCACCGCCCCTCCGCGCGGCCCCCGCCCCCACGCGGCCGCTCGCAAACTTGGGGGCGAACTTGGAGGAGGCCCGCGGAGCGTTGGGAGAGGGCGGGGCCCGGGCGGGAGGGGGGCCCCTCCCAAGGAATCCCCAGTCCCCGAGCCTTTCCCCTCCCTCCAGGCACCCACCAGAGAAGTCACCCCTGCGCGCTCAGTGCGCGGCCAGGCCCGGGGAGGGAAAGGGGGTGAGGGTCGAGAACGCGACGCCTCACATCTCCCCCGGCCCGCTGCGCCTCGGAACCGGCCGGGGGAGGGAGGCCCGAAGACGGCCCAGATCAAGGCCGCAAGCCGGCCTCCGCTCCCCCCCGCGAAGCCCTTGTAGAGCTGGGCTGCGATGTTGGCTCCTCAGGCTCACTTCGGTGCAAAGCCTGCAGAGGACACCCGAACAGGATGCTTGAGGCCTATGGGTCGACTCGGTCTGCACCTGAGCCCTGGGCAAAGGGTGTCTCCGCGGAAGGTAGAATGGCCCAGCAGTGGGCTCTGATAGAGTGTGGAGGGAAATGCAGGTGGGGGCAAAGGCAGAGGGAGGAGGCAGGAGTACTCCAGGACTGAGAGACCCTGCAGTCCTCCTCCAGTGGTGAAGGGGGAGTTTGGGAGAGAAATTCTACTTAAGAAGGCTGTTGGATCACCAGAGGTGAAAGTTCAGAAGGTGGAGGCTTGGGGGCTCCTGCATTAGGAAGAGTGGGGTGAGAGCATAGAGCAGAGCAGGGGCCGTGGGGGAGGGGAGCAATGTGGAGAGAGGAACAGGGGACAGGGAGGAAGAGGAGCTCTGGGCCTTGGAAGCAGAGGAGTTGCCCATGCTCTGGGACACAGACCCAATCCCAGGGACCATGGAGAGGGGGAAAGGTGGGCAGGCCTGGGCATGGAAAACAAAGGGGGGCATCCAGGTCCCAGCAAAGATGAGCTTGTCTTTGGCAGACTTGGGAGTTGGTGGGAAGACCTGTGCAGGGAGAGGGCACCTGCCTTCTCTTGGTGAACAGGCTGCATACAGGCTCCCTGAGGAGGAGGGAGAGGTGGTGCCCTTCCTCAGTCAAGTGGAGGTGGTCAGAGTGGAAGGGGGGCTGAAGGAGGGGCTTGGGATAACAGCCACTGAAAGGCCCAAGGCTGTGGACATCACCAGGCTGGCTGGGCCAGAGGCCTATCCAGGGCAGGCTGGTGGAGGGAAGGAGCAGAATAGGGAACTTCGAAGGTTAGGGCCCTCCCTCAGCCATGCTGGTGCAGGAGGGAGGCCAGAGGCAGGCAACAGCTGGGCGGACTGGAAGGGGGAGTTGCACCCCTGAGATCACAAATGCAAACACTTCTTGGGGACAAGTAAACTTGTGGGCAGCTCCGCCTGGGCACGGCCCTGACCTCAGCGGTGCCCTCCCAGTGCCTGGGGCCCCTCCCAAAAGGCCCCCGTAGACTGCCAGCAAGAGGGGCCAACAGAGGTCCCGGCTTTAGAAGCACACACCCCAGGGCTTCGGGCATTCACCCCAGCTGGCCTGAGTTCATGGACAGGCACCTCAAACTCCCTTACCTTCTTTCCCTTCCTGGCTTGCCACCCCCAAATCCCCTCCTCTGTGAAGGGCACCAGCTGGATGATGCCCCCACTCCATGCCAACACCAGGACCTCACGAGTGTCTCAAATCTCTACCTACCCCATCAGCGTATCACCCAGAGCCGTCTTTCTAATGACATCTGGCTGCCCACCACACTCACAGGACTGTCCCCGGCCTCATCTCACTCAAGACCCACAGTAGTCCTCCATGTGTCCCATCATAGCCACCCCCAGTTGATGGCAAGTTCAGGGTTGAACACAGGGCCCATGTCTGTCCCAGCCACCGTCACATGCCGATCAGGAGACTGAGAAGTGAGAATGAATGACTGTCCGTATGGCTGGCCTGGTGCCAGGTGAATACCATGATGTGGAAGCTATGGGTTCACGGGCACCCACAGATGACTAACAACCACACAGACACCCCATGGGGGTCTGGAGCCTGGGCCGACTGGTTCCAGCCAGGATGGCTTCCCAGGGGTACTTGAGAGGGTGAGGATTTTGCAGGCGGAAATAAATAAATAAATAAGGTTTCACTGAGGTTTCAGCGGAAAGGGATGAGCACCGAGCTGAGTGAAGGCATGATGCAGGGCCTCTCTGAGAGCCTGCCAGGCTGCCTAGGTCCTGGGACAGGTGCTGAGAGGGGAAGCCATGAAGGCCTCCAAGCCGGACAGTGGCGGGACTCCTTTCAGGACCCGAGTCTACCCCACCCCCTGCTCCACAGGGCCTCACAAACCCTCTTCTCCACCACCACCACCCCCCCGGCCGGCAGAGCAGAGCTCTCTAACAAAGCTGTGGCCGCACCCTGAAGGCTCTGAGGGGGAGTGGGGGGGATGACTCCAGCAAGGCTGGGACACACTGGAGGGGGATGGACATCTCTGGTGCTCCTCCTTCTCAGGAACTCTGGGATCTGCAAGAACTGCGGCCCTGGCCCGCAAGGTAGTGGCGGAGACAGGAAATGCTGGCTCCCTACTGTGAGCCCCTGAGCAGGGGAGAGGACACTGAAGAACGTGGCCACCCTGTCCCACTGGAAGTGACCCACTAGCGTCAACACTGGGATTGCCACCGGAGCTAGAAGTGCATGATGTCACGTTGGGGTTAGGGAGTGGGGACATATTTTTGCAGGGGTATGCGAGCCCCAAGAGACAGATAGGAAGATCATACACTGGCCCTAGGGGCAGGAAGCAACTCGCACTGGCCTCACACCAGAGCCCGAAGTCTTCAGGGTATCTGGACCCTACCCCCTTCCTCCCATCAAGCAGCACACACTGCCCCGTTGCCCTCCTCCATCCACGACAGAGTGCCAGTGGCCACAGGCTCTGGACAAGGCACTGGGGTACAGAAAGAAGACCCAGTTGTCCTCATGCTCTGCCCAGGAGACTTGGGAAGTCACAGATCATCTGCAGGTTGCTCCCTGCCCTTGGGGCTTTGCAAGAGCAGCAGCTGCGGCAGGAGGAGGGGTGTTCAGGTGGAAGCTCAGCTGTGCAGAAGCAAGGTAGGTGCTGGAAGCCCAGCCCACTTGCAGGTGGCCCCGAGAGGTTGCCACCCGCTGCACCAGCATGACCCTTGAGACGATGTGCTAAGAACTCAGCTGGTGACCCTCTAGGGAAGGCAGCGCCCCTTCCCACCCCTGCCACACTCAGATCCAGCAAGCAGGGGGGAGCCTTTGGTGACTGGGTCTCCCTCCCCAGGCATGGGGCTCACCGAGCTGGACTGAGGTTCAGAGAAGAGCACCTCACCGGAGAAGGTGCTCCAGCAGGCCAGGTGACCGCCTCTCGGCAGACCAGGGCGGGTTTCCAGGTCCCCCAATAACAGCCTTGCTAGCTGGGGGTGTACTGTGCTTTTCCCTCGGATGAGGGCGCCTGGCCTGCCACTGCCACTCAGCAGCTCTGAGCCCGGAAGGCCACAGGCACCCACAGACGACAGCCTTGCACGGGCTGTGGACGGATGGTGAGGCTGCGGCCACAGGAAAACAATCCACACCTTTTGTAAGATGATTTATTTCATTTATCAACAACATGGGGTCAGAAAAGCCCAGCTGTAGGGGATCTTTTATTACTAGAACCAGTCTCGGGCAACTCTATGTATCTCTATTCCTTTTCCGGGCCTTGGGAGCTTGCAATAGCTCAAGCCTCTGGATGCTGGGCAGGCGACGGGCTCGCTCCACCCTCTCCCTGCCCACGGAAGGGGGCGCAGTGTGCCTCGGCCCCCTCACCCATGGGGCCAGTCCCCAGGTCCCTTTGGAGAAGGGTGCCCTCTCAGCCCAGCAGGGAGGAGAACTAGGCACCGGGGAGTCCACGACAGCTGGTGTCACCATGCCCCGTCCAAACCGAGGAGGAGTGGGCCCGGTAAACTCCTCCAGAGAACCAGAGCCCTCCACAAGCATCCCCGCTGTAGGGTGATCACAGCCACGGATCTGCAGAGCCCCCCAAGCAGCCGCTGTAGGCTGGCGGGCAGGCGGCCGGGAAGGATGGGTGGCAGGAGCTGGCAAGCAGGCGGTGCCAGCAGGAGGGGGGCCGTCTGGGGGCCCCACTGCCCTCAGAGCTCCCGCCACCTCCCCTTCTGACACCGGGTGCCGGAGCCCTAGTCCTCGCTCGAGTTGTCAAACTCCTCCCAATCAGACACACTCATCACCTCGGAGGCGAAGTCCTGGTCGGCCTGGCTGCGGTCGGGGGTCCCACGAGGCGGCTCGAGGAGCAAGGAGCGGGGCAGGGTGAGCACGCAGGCTGCCAGGCCTGAGATGGAGTTGTCTAGCTGCGGCCCCTCCTCCCAGCAGTCCTTCTCCACGTCGTAGATGTGCACGTAGCCCGTGCGGCTGCCGCGGTTGTGCGAGCGGCCCCCCAGCACGTAGATCCTGGTGTCCAGCACAGCAATGCCAGGCTCACCGTGCCCGGCGGGGAGCGGGCAGACGGAGGACCACTGCCCAGACGTGCAGCTGAAGCAGGCCACCTGCAATGCCAAGGTCAGAGTAAAGCTGGGCACCTGCCGAGACGGGGCTGCCAGGCCGCCCTGGGCCAGCCGGGCAGGGCAGCACTCTTGGCCAGGCCCTGGATTCAGACCAAGGCTGAGGGACACAGCCAGGCTGTGTGTAAACCCAGCTCCCCTGGAGGAAGAGTCTGGTGCCAGCATTAAAATGGCCCGTCCACGGGCCAGGCCGACGCTCTGTCCTGCCTCCAGGGCCCTCAGCCTGCCTGTGGCCCCAGGTGTGTGGCACCTCCCCGTAGGCACACTAGCATGCTGTTCTTCTCTAAGGTCTGGGGTTCTCTCCCCTCCACAAAACTGAAACTGACCAAAGACACGGACCCCAGCTAATTCCCTCACAGCACCCAACGGCAGGAGGAAGTGCAGATAAAATGTGTAAATCGTTAACTTGCGGACTAGTGATGACCGTCAACATTCTCACGTCTCCAAAATTCCCCCGAGCAGTAAACAAACACATGGGAAAATGTTCCACCTCTTCGTAATCCAAGAAATGTAAAACAGGAGTTAAATTTGTCCCTGACAGCTAGCAGCCACCGGGGGAAGAAAAATCACAAGACCCAATGCTGATAAATGCATAATGAAGCCATTCGTCTGGGCGTTTGCCTGACGCTCCGGGAAAGCTGTTTGACAATATGTATTGAGAGCCACAAAAATCTTATCTTTTTGACTTAATAATCACCTTTGGTTCTCCATCTGTGGGAGGCAGAAAAATGACCCTCCAAAGAAGTCCATGCCCTAAATCTCTAAAACTTGTGTTACTTTACACAGCAAAAGGGACCCTGCAGACATGCTTCAGGGTACGGACCTCGAGGTGGGGAGGTTGTCCTGGGCTTGCCAGGTGGGCCCATCTAATTGCACAAGTCCTTGAAAGCAGAGGGGGAAAGTCTACCAGGAGGGAAGAGAAGACAGAAGGACAACCTGCTGTTGCTGGCTGAGGACGAAGCGGCCCCATGCCAGGGAATGCAGAGACCTCTAGAAGCCGAGAAGGACCTTTAGCCGACAGCCAGCAAAGAAACAGGGACCTTAGTTCTACACACGCAGGGAACTGAATTCTGATAACCTGTGTGAGCAAGAAGCCAGATTCTCCCCTAAGGCCCCAAAAAGGACAGATGCCCTGAGGACACCTGGATTTTAGCCCAGTGAGACCACACCAGACTTAAGGACCTACAAACTCTAAGAATACACTTATATTGTTTCAAGTTATTAAGCCGGTGGTGATTTGTCATGGCAGCAATAGGAGATCCAGGAGAGCCCAGGGGTTCTCACCACTCGGGGCCTGGCTGAGCCCCGCCCCAGAGTTTCCAATTCAGTGGGTCTGGGGCGGGACCTGAGAACCTGCATTTCTAACAAGTTCCCAGTGATGCAGATGCTGCTGGCCTGGGACCACACTTTGAGAAGCAGAGCTCTCACCTAAGAAAACAACCCAAAATACCCGAAACGCACTGCAGAGTAAATATTACCTATGTGACTTGGAATAGTCAAAACTTGGGCCAACCCAAATGACACACCAACGTGACAGAATTCTGCACGGCCACTGAGGTTGGCAGTGGCTATAGAAATCGAGTATGAAACTGGAAAACAGCCACAACAAACTTCAGCCAGAAGCAGACTGGAGTGCTCTTTACCTACAGTTAGGTGGAAACCACGCACAGGCAGGACTAAAACACAGTGGCACCGAGCGGGATGATGGGTGCTTTTCCTCAACCTTATCCATTATTCAAACAATCTGCAATGCGGTTATACTAACTTTATAATTAATGTTTTTAATAATCAAAACAAATGAAAGTACCCTGCCTGATACTGTAACGGTGGATACAGGTCATTGGTCCAAACCCAAAGAATGTACACCACCCCAGACCGAACCCTGATGTAAACTACCGGCTTGGGGTAAGAGCGTATCATGGTGGGTTCAAGGATCGTAACAAATGTCTCACTTTGGTGGGGGACGTTGATGGTGAGGGAGACCACGTGTGCAGGGATGGGGGTGTATGGCAAATCTCTGCACCTTCTGTTCAATTTTGCTGGGAACCTAAAACTGCTATAAAAAATAAAGCCTGTTTAATAAAAAGGCATACAGGGCGCCTGGGTGGCTCAGTTGGTTAAGCGACTGCCTTCGGCTCAGGTCATGATCCTGGAGTCCTGGGATCGAGTCCCGCATCGGGCTCGCTGCTCAGCAGGGAGTCTGCTTCTCCCTCTGATCCTCCCCCATCTCATGCTCTCTCTCTCTGTCTCATTCTCTCTCTCAAATAAATAAATAAAATCTAAAAAATAAAAATAAATAAAAAATAAAAAGGCATACATGCTGCAATTAATTTTTCATCCAAAACAACTGGAAGGGATGGGAAGAACACGTGCGTGGGCAGCCCAGCTCTGCTCACCTGGTGCACGTCCCTCCTGTAACCAGCGTCGTTGTTGCTGCCCCCGATCACGTACAGCTTGTCCAGGAGCGTGGCCATGCCATGCCAGGCCCGCCGCACGGGTCCATCAGCCAGGCTGTGCCAGGTGTTGCTGTCCGGGTCATAGCAGTGCGTCTCCTTTAGGTAGTCCTCCCCTCTGCGGCCACAGGTAATGTACATCTTCCCCTCCAGCGTGGCGCCCGCATGGGCATACACCTGCCACCAAGAGAAGCCAGGGGGCAAGAGAGCCGTGAGGGAAGGCAACCAGGGCCCTCACGGAGGCCGCTTATACCCCACAGTGGCACACCATCCCTCATGGGGTCCCCAACTTTCACCTCACATTCTGTGGAGAACACTCCCTGATTCGGTCCTAGTCATCCACCCTGACCTTACCCCAATAGGGGACGAGTCTACGGACCCAGAGGTGACTCTGGGATCTTTGTCTTTCCCTTGCCCCTAAACGAGACATCTGCATGGGGGGCTCAAAGCAATCAAAGCACAGACTTTAGAGCCAGTCACGGGAGGAGATAGCACTTCTGGGGATACCTGACCCATCCTCAGCGGCCTCCACCTCTCCCCCACTCCCAGTTACCAGCCAATCCTCCAGGCCTCCTGACCCCACTTGCAAAATCTGTTCACAAATAATATCTAACGATATGGTGAGGAGGAAAGTGAGATGCAAAATCAAACACAAAGAACAATGCCATTTTAGTGATGGTTATGTGTGGAGGAAGAAAACACACCACCCTGCTTTTGATTTCGGTCCTCAGACTTCTCCGTGCACCCTGGCAGGGGATCCCCTCCCTGCCCAGCCAGCTAGACCCCTCACACTGGTCCCTACTCTATGCTCATACTCACTTGCTCAAACCCCCGCCGAGCAAGGCCTTTACGCTGGGCCCATGGGCCCCAAGGCAGAGCACTGTGTGTTTTGGGGGTAGAGGAGCCCCATGGGGTGTGGAAGCTCCAGAGCTTGTTACAGAGCCAGCCACTGACCCTCAGGCTGTGTGGTAACACAGCAAAGGGCTGGAGAGGTGGACAGGGGACAGAGCAGTGGGCAGGACACAAACCAAGGGGTTGGGTCTTCTCTCATCAATGGTGGGGACCTGGGAAGGCTTTGGTGCTTGGATTTTGTTTTTTTTTTAAAGAATGTATTTATTTATGTATTTATTTATTTACTTGGGTTTTTTTAAAGAATTTATCTATCTATCCATCTATCTATTTATTTGACAGAGAGAGAGAGAGGGAGCATACAAGCAGAGGGAGAAGCAGGCTCCCCACTGAGCAAGGAGCCTGAAGCGGGACTTGATCCCAGGACCCCGGGATCATGACCTGAGCCAAAAGCAGACGCTTAACTGACTGAGCCATCCAGGCACCCCTTGGGTTTGTTTTTTTTTAATTAAACTTTTCATTTTTTTTTTTTAAGATTTTATTTATTTATTTGAGAGAGAGAGAGAAAGAGAGCGCACAAGCAGGGGGAGTGGCAGGCAAAGGGAGAGGGAGAAGCAGGCTCCCGCTGATCAGGGAGCCCGATGCGGGGCTCGATCCCAGGCCTCCAGGATCATGACCTGAGCCGAAGGCAGTTGCTTAACCGACTGAGCCACCCAGGTGCCCTAAACTTTTCATTTTGAAGTAAGTGTAGATTCACACGTAGTTGTTAAGAAAATAATACAGACACCATGTACCCTTTACCCAGGCTCCTCAATGATAAGCTAGTATAACTCTAGCCCAATAACACAACCAGGATGCTGACGTTGACCCAGTCAACACAAGACACTTCTACCTCCAGTAGGATCCCTCCTGTTGCCGGTCTGTAATCATACCCACATCCCCCCTGCCCTGAACCCCCTCTTTAATCTGTTTCTCCATTTCTATAATTCTGTCATTTCAAGAGTGTTATATGAATGGAATCACGCAGCCTTTTAGAACAGGCTTTCTATGCTACCTCAGGTTCATCTAGACTGTTGCTTGTTTGTGTCCATAGTTTGTTCGTTTTTATTGCTGAGTAGAATTTCATGCTGCGTATCTGCTACAGTTTGCTTAGCCAGGCACCTGTTGAAGGACATCTGATTTGTTTCCAGTTTCTGGCTGTGACCAATAAACCACTATAAATGTTTGTGTACAGAGTTTTCATTTTTCTGGGATAAATGCCCAGGACTGCAACTGCTGAGTTGCATGGTTAGTTAGAAGTTAACTATTTAAAGACATTGTGAAAGGGGCACCTGGGTGGCTGTCAGTTAAGCGTCTGCCTTCACCTCGGGTCATGATCCCCGGGGTGCTGGGATCGAGCCCCGTGTTGGGCTCTCTGCTCACGGGGAGTCTGCTTCTCCCTCTCCTTCTGCCTGCCTCTCTGCCTACTTGTGCTCTCTTTCTCTGTCAAATAAATAAATAAAATCTTTAAAAATAAATAAAGGCATTATGAAATTCCTTCCCAGTGTAGCTGTACCATTTTACATTCCCATCAGCAACGTATGAGCAACTAAGCTTCTCTGCAGCCCCACCAGCACTGGCTGTTGGACTAGTTTTTATTTCAGCCACTCTGACAGGTGGTTTTTTCTCACTGTGGGTCTCATTTGCGCTTCCCTAATGACTAATGACGTTGAACATCTCATGTGCTTGTCTGCCATCTGATAACCCCCTGCCCCGTAGTTCTGATGAAGTCCCATTTATCGATTTTTCTTTTTATGGCTCATGCTTTGGGGGTCAAGTCTAAGTATTTGTTGCCCAGTCCTAGATCCCAAAGATTTTCTTCTACTTTTTTCCCCCTAAGTACTATATAGATTTACATTTTACAGCTAAGCTCATAAACCACTTTGAGTTAATTTTTGTATAAAGTATGAGACTTGGGTCAATGTTCATTTTCTTTGCTTAAGGATTCCAACTGCTCTCGTATAATTTGTTGAAAAGTTATCTTTTCTTCATTCAATTGCTTTTGCATCTTCATCAAAAATCAGATGGACATAGGGCGCCTGGGTGGCTCCGTTGTTAAGCATCTGCCTTTGGCTCAGGTCATGATCCCAGGGTCCTGGGATCAAGCCCTGCATCGGGCTCCCTGCTCGGCAGGAAGCCTGCTTCTCCCTCTCCCACTCCCCCCTGCTTGTGTTCCGTCTTTCGCTATGTCTCTCTCTGTCAAATAAATAAAGATTTTATTTATTTGAAGGAGAGTGAGATGCTTAACGGACTGTGCCACCCAGGCGCCCCTCCCCACTTTATTCCCTTACAAAATTGAGGTATTCTAGATCCTTTGCCCTTCCATGTAAATCTCAGAATAGTCTCATCTATATCTATAAAAATTGTTGCTAGAATTTTGATAGGAATTGAGTTAAACACCATCTATCAATTCGGGAAGAACTAACATCTTTATTATTTGAGTCTTCCAATCCATGTACATGGTATGTCTCCCCACTTATTTACATCTTCTTTTCTTTCATCAGCATTTTATAATTTTTAGCATATAAATTCCGTAAGTGTTGTTAACTTTATACCTAAGTATTTCATTTTTTTGAGCAATTATAAATAGTATTTCCCATTTCAGTGTCCACATGTTCATTGCTAATATACAAAAACGCAATGGATTTTCGCAGATTTATCTTATATCCTACAATCTCACTGAACTCACTTATTAGTGCTAGGTTCTTTTTTTTTTTTTTTGGTACATTCCTTTAAGATTTTATCTATTTATTTACTTCAGAAAAAGAGAGTATGTGAGCAGGGGGAGGGGCAGAGGGAGAGAGAAAACCTCAAGCAGACTCTGTGCTGGGGCCCGACATGGGGTTAAGAGTTGGACACAACTGACTGAGCCACCCAGGTGCCCCGGTAGCTTCCTTTAGACTTTGCACAACTTATTCATCCTTAGGGTCAGTTTTATTTCTTCCTTTCAATCTGCATGCTTTATTTTCTTTTCTTGCCATGTTTCACTGGCCAGACCCTCCAGGACTATGATGAATAAGAGTGGTGAGAGCAGACATCCTTGCCCTGCTCCCCATCTTAGGAAAAACATTCAACTCAGTCTTTCACGATTAAACACAGTATTAGCAGTAGGATTTTTGTAGATGCTCTTCGTCAAGTTGAGGAAACTCTATTATTTTTTTAGTTTGATCATAAACGGATGCAAAATATTGTCAAATTCTTTTTCTGCTTTGACTGATATAATTGTGTGATTTTTAACATGGTGGATTATACACTGACTGAATTTCAAATATGGAACTAGCCTCCTATCTCTGTAATCAACTCCATTTGTCATGCATTTCTTTTATCAAGGGGGGATAATTCTATTTGCTAATATTTAATGAAGAATATTCATATGTAGATTTATGAGATTTGTCTTTTTTGGGGACACTCTTTGTCTGGTTTTGTTATCAAGTTAGTATTAACCTCATAAGATGAACTGGGAAGTATTCCCTCCTTTTTCCATATTTTCCGGAAAAAAACAATATGCAGAATTGGTGTTAACTTTTCTTTAAATGTTTAGTAGAACTTTTCAATAAAACTATCTAGGCCTGGACCTTTCTTCTTGGGAAGTTCAATTTCCTTAACAGGTAGAGGGCTATTCAAATTATCTATTTAGCTTTGAGTCAGTTGTGTTAGGTTGTATTTTTTTTTAAAGATTTCATTTATTTATTTGACAGAGAGAGACAGCAAGAGCGGAAACACAAGCAGGCGGAGTGGGAGAGGGAGAAGCAGGCTCCCTGCTGAGCAGGGAGCCTGATGTGGGGCTCGATCCCAGGACCCTGGGATCATGACCTGAGCCGAAGGCAG